TATATATATATATATATAAACTGAGAGTTTAAAAATAACTGAAAAGTCAAACTCAAATGCTAAAGCTGAATCTAACTATGTCTGAAAAGAGCCGCTAACTGACTAGAAATGCTGGGACATGCCTGAGCCTAATCTAGCAAAAACTGACTAAGACTAAAAGCAAAGGAAACATGTCTATCGTCCTCGGAGAATGAGGACTCACCACTGATGCTGTGAGCTAAAGATCAAGAACTGATCTATGCGTGACTTGGAAGCTGAGGACCTGAACCTACATGTAACACCCCGTACACTAGAATAGACCAGATTGCCATTTTCAGGTGTTGTAGGTGGCACCCACGGGTACCATCCACGGACCGTAGGAGGACCCACGGTCCATCCTCCATGTTCGTAGTTTGCACCAGCGACCCTCCAACCAGAAGGCTCAGAAAAATTGGCTAAGGGTCAGGCAACGCCAGGACCTACGGATCGTAGGTCCGACTATGGTTCGTGGTCCAGGTCCATAGGTCGGACCCTCAGAATCCAGTCCCTACTCCCGACTGACGGTTGACCAGCATGTACCGTCAATTGACAGTCCGTCGGTCCCGTCCGTCAGTGACCATGACAGCTTTTAAGTAAGGGGTCTTTTGGTCTTTTCCTTATGCGTTAGACCCCTAAACTACGTGGTTTTGATCAGTTTTAGCCTAGAAACATAACTAGAACTTATCTAAGTCAAATCATTCATCAAAACATAGGAAAATTAGAGCATGAGAGAGAGGAGAAAGAGGTCAAGAAGCCTAGTTCAAGAACGGAACAAGGTTCAATTAGTTCCATCCACGAAATTGAACGATTTCTCTATGGAATTCGTCACCAGGTCTGTGGGATTTCACTAATGGGTTCGTTTCACCAATTGGGTCACTAGATTTCAGTCAGATTCTTGATTCCCTTAATATTATTTAGACTTAGGGTTTCTTGGATGTTAGAATTGTTGGTTTTTCAGCTGTTAGAATGATCCAAATCATATTATCACGTTATAGTATTGTTTTACCCAGATTTATGCATAAAATCAGAACCCTAGCTATGTAGTTCTTTTAGTTCATGAATTACACATGCTAGGTACGTAAATTTAGTTATATATATGAGCATACCTCAGATTTCAAATGCATTATTATTAGTATATTAATGTTTCATTCTCAGTTTGCATGTTGGTTTTTAGCTATCCACTATTACAACATTTCCATCATAAAGTATTAATTACTTAATCATATGGGAAGCTTAATATCGAGTGACTAGGGTCAGTCACCCTCAAGTCCCAGAAGTACATGCCGCCGTAGGTTGTAAGTCCCCTTTGTGGGCTTCATTTTAGTGATAACGCCAGCATGCCTCTATACCTCTGGCAGTGCATATTGGGTCCTCTCGATGGGCCATATACATCGGACTCCATATTTAGCTCATGTGGTTTTATGAGCTTCCACATAGTATTTCCTTACTTCAGTTTATTTAGAATGCTTATGATATGCCAGCATGGTTAGCTTCGGGTCAGTCGTGATCCTATGTCTCGTGTCCGCATCCAGGGGGTAGCCTCGGGGTGTGACAAACTTTGTATCGGAGCCTTAGGCTTAAGTGTCCTAGGATGTCTGAAAAGCCACACTAAGTAGAATTGTTTTCATGTGTGTGAAGTGCACCACATTTAATGAGAAGGAGGCTGCAAAGTGTTTTAGGAAAAACTTCAATTTCTTTGTTACTCTTATCGTGCGTAAGGTATGATCTCATTTTTCGTGCTAATCCTTCGTTATGCGCTTTCAGTAATCATGCCTCTTCGTAGAGTTTATGGATGAAATGTGAATACCGTAAATGCAAACGCAGCTCCTCCAGTCCCAGATTAGGAAGTTTCAAATGCTGAATTCTGAAATGCTATCCAGTTGTTGGCTTAGAGTGTGACCTACCAGAAAAATCAATAGGCTCCAGTTTTGGCAAATGCCAATGTTAGGTCAGCTACAGCTAGAGTTCGTGATTTTGTTAGGATGAATCCGCCTGAGTTCTTAGGATCGCAGATTGGTAAGGATCCCCAAAGCTTCATTGATAAGGTCAAGAAGCTCTTTGGAGTGATGCAGATAACTAGAAATGATTGGGTTGAGTTAGCATCCTAGCATCTTAAGGATGTAGCTCATATATGGTATACTCAGTGGAAGGAGAACAGGTGTACAAATGCAGCTCCTTTCACTTGGGATTTCTTTAGTGAGACGTTTTTGGATAAGTTTTTCCCAAGAGAGTTAAGGGAGACAAAAGCTAAGGAGTTTATGAATTTGAGGCAGGGTTCTATGAGGGTCCAAAAGTATGGACTCAAGTTCACCCAACTCTCCAGGTATGCTCCTCACATAGTTGCTAATTTCAGGGCGCAAATGAATAAGTTCATGTATGGGGTATCCGATATAGTGGAGACAGATTGTAGGGATGCTACGTTATTTGAAGATATGAACATCTCTAGGCTCATGACTCACGCTCAGCAGGTTGAGGGTGATAAGCTTAGGGAACAGGCCAAGGAGAATAAGAAAGCTAGGACAGGCAACTATGACTATTCTCACCATAAATCGGGTGGTGGAAATCGCTCCCAGTATCAACAGAAGTCTTCAACTCTAGCATATTCATCAGTTAGTATTTCATCCTCCAAGTTCCGTAATGATAAAAAAGGTAGGGCATCAAGCTCTAAGACTCAAGGTAGTGTTTCAGGCACCAGAACTTACCCAACTTGTTTGAAGTGTGGTATCCACTATTTGGGCGAGTGTCCTACACGAAAGGAAGGATGTTTTGTGTGTGGTCAGTTTGGTCATAGGTTGAGGGATTGTCCTTCTAAGCAGGGTCAGGGAGGTAACAATGGTAGAGGTCATTCTGCAACTTCAGCAGCACATGCAGGTCACCCGACTCAGCATGATAACTAATTTGGTACAGGTGGCGGTCAACACCAAAATAAGTTATATGGTCTCCAGGCTCACCAGGATCAGGAAGATTCTCCTGATGTAGTCACTGATATGGCACGAGTCTTTGACCTTGATGTTTATACATTGTTAGATCCACAAGCTAATTTGTCTTTTATAGATCCTTATATAGCAGTCAACGTCAATGTTATTCCAGATACTCTCTCTGAACCTTTCTCAGTATCTACTCCAGTCGGTGACCCAGTTATAGCTAGACCGGTATACAAAAATTGCCCAGTCACTGTCTCCAAGAAAGTCACCTCAGCAGATCCTGTAGAGTTAGAAATGGTAGACTTTGATGTCATTCCAGGCATGGATTGGTTACATTCATGTTATGCCTCAATTGATTGTAGAACTAGGATTCTTTGTTTTCAGTTTCCAGATGAACCAATTTTTGAATGGAAGGGTAGTAGCTTAGAGCCTATGGGTCGATTCATTTCTTACCTTAAGGACATAAAGATGATTTCTAAGGGTTGTCTCTATCATCTAGTTTGGGTTAAGGATTCAAGCTCCAATACCCCAACTCTTGAGTCAGTTCCAGTAGTCAATGAGTTCCCAGAAGTGTTTCCAGAAGATCTTCTCAGAGTTCCTTACGAAAGGGAAATCGAGTTTGGAATTTATCTCCTTTCATATACCGTGCCTATTTTTATTCCTCCTTACATAATGGTTCTAGCTGGGCTTAAGGAATTGAAAAACTAGTTGAAAGACCTTCTAGATAATGGTTTCATCAGACCTAGTATTTCCCAATGGGGTGCACCAGTTTTGTTCGTGAAGAAGAAATATGGGTCTCTCAGAATGTGCATTGACTATAGGCACTTGAACAAGGTCACAATAAAAAATAAGTATCCTATCCCTAGGATTGAAGACTTGTTTGACCAACATCAGGGTGCTAGTAATTTCTCAAAGATAGACCTCAGATATGGTAATCATCATCTCCGAGTCAGAGATAGTGACATTCCAAACACAACCTTCAGAACTCAGTATGGTCATTATGAATTTGTAGTTATGTCATTTGGACTAACCAATGCTCCTGCAGCTTTCATGGATTTGATTAACATAGTGTTTAAGTAGTATTTGGACTTGTTCATTATCGTCTTTATTGATGATATCCTCATTTACTCTAGAAATGAGGAAGAACATGAGAATCTTCTGCGGGTTGTTCTGCAGACTCTCAGAGATCAACAGTTATTCGCTGATTTTAGCAAATGTGAGTTTTGTTTGCAATCCGTTGCTTTCCTTTTGCATATTATGTTTAGCGAAGGGATTCGAGTAGATTCTCAGAAAATTGAAGCAGTGAAACAATGGCCCAGACCTACCTCTCCTACAGATATCAGAAGTGTCTTGGGTCTAGCAGCTTACTACAGAAGGTTAGTAGAAGGATTTTCATCCATAGCCTCTCCAATGACTAAGTTGATGCAGAAAAGGGTCAAGTTTCAGTGGTCAGATGATTGTGAGAAGAGCTTTGCACAATTGAAAACTAGGTTGACTACAACTCCTGTTTTGACTCTACTAGAGGGTTCAGACGGTTATGTTATCTGTTCTGATGCATCCGGAGTCGGCTTAGGTTGTGTGTTGGTGCAGCGTGGTAAGGTTATAGCTTATGCTTCTAGACAACTTAAGGTGCATGAGAAGAACTATCGGACTCATGACCTCGAGCTAGCAGTAGTGGTGTTTGTACTTAAGATTTGGAGACATTACTTGTATGGTGTTCATGTAGATGTGTTCACAGACCATTAAAACCTTCATTATGTGTTCACCCAGAAAGAGTTGAATCTTCAGCAGAGAAGATGGCTTGAGTTCCTCAAATATTATGATATGAGTGTGCATTACGATCAGGGTAAGGCCAATGTAGTAGCAAATGCTCTTAGAAGACTATCTATGGGTAGTGTAACACATGTTAAGGAAGAAAGAAAGGAGCTAGCAAAGGATGTTCACAGACTTCCTCGCTTAGGAGTTCATCTTATAAGCATATCAGATGGTGGTGTAATAGTTCAGAATATTTTTGGTGGCGGAGGATAAGGAAATGCAAGACACTGATCCGATATTGCTTCAATTAATGATAGGTGCAGAAACTAGCTTTTCCTTCAATTCTCCAAATCCTCTCAGAAAAGCATCATCAAAATCAAACATACACTCCTTTTCGAGTAATTGGCACAATGCTTGTGCAATCTTGGAGAAATCCTTGATGAACCTCCTATAGAAGCCTACATGCCCAAGAAAACTTCTAACACCTTTAACAGAGATAGGTGGTGGAAGATTTTTTACTACCTCGACATGTGCTCTATCAACTCAATACACTTCTCAGAAATCCGATGACCCAGAACTATCCCTTATTTCCCCATGAAGTGGCACTTTTCCTACTTGAGCACAAGATTGCACTCTTCACACCGTTTAAGTACCTCGGCCAAATGATCCAAACAACCATCAAATGAGTCACCTACCAAAGATAAATGATCCATAAATACCTCAATAGTGTCCTCCACCAAATCAGAGAATATCGACATCATGCAACACTGGAAGGTCACTGAAGCATTACATAACCTAAATGGCATTCCTTTGAAGGCGAAAGTCCCATAAGGGCAAGTGAAGGTGGTCTTCTCCTGGTCTTCCAGATCTATGGAGATCTGATTGTAGCGTGAATGACCATCAAGAAAGCAATACCACCCCTTACCAGCAAGGCGATTGAACATCTGATCCACGAACGGCATAGGGAAGTGGTCCTTTTCTGTTCAAGCATTTAATTTCGGGTAGTCCATCCATACTCTCCATCCAGTAACTGGCCGCATCGTAACAAGTTCATTTTTCGCATTAGGTACCACAGTAATCCCACCTTTATTGGGCACACATTAAACAAGACAGACCCAACTACTATCTGCATTGGGATAAATGACTCAAGTATCCAACCACTTTGTAATTTCCTTTTCACTACCTCTTGCATCAGCGGATTTAGTCTCCTTTGGTGCTCAATACTAGGCTTGTGATACGGCATGAGTTGGATTTTATGAGAACAAATGCCCGGATGAATTCCAATAACGTCCGCAATACTCCACCTCATAGCTCGCTTGAACCTCTTCAACATAAAAACCAATGCCTCTACTACCGCATTCAAATCTACCGCAATGATGACCGGTAAAGTACCATCTCTCCCCAAGAATACATACCTCAAATGTGATGGTAGAGCCTTAAGCTCCAATTTTGGAGCCTCTTAAATAGATGATTTTTCAAGTAGAGAGTTGTGATTCTTCATATCTAACTCAAACTTCTTTTGTTTGGAATGGAATTCGAACCTATCAAGTGTGGCAGCCAATTCATCATAGTCTTCAATACCATCACCCTCAAAATTCATCATTACTGTTGCCAGTGTATCAACACCCAACCTCTCTTCAATAGAAACATCAAAACCTCACTCCATAATATGATTTACCATTGACACTGACTTGAGATCGCTTTCCTGCTTCATGGACCTAGAAATATTAAAAGTTACCTCCTCACTATTCAATGTGAACTTCATCGGCCCTTTCTCTATATCGACCAAGGCGTGCCCAGTAGCAAGGAATGGTCTCCTAAAAATGATAGGAACCTCACAGTCAAGTATCACAAAATTCGATGGAAAGATAAACGACTCCACTTTCACAAGTACATCTTGGAGAACACCAATGGGCCTCTTTACAGTTCTATCGGCCATGATCAATCACAGTACAGTCGGTTTTGGAGCCCCTAAACCCAACTTCTTGTAAATAGACAATAACATCAGAGTGATTCTAGCACACAAATCGCACAACGCCTTAGCAAAATGCAACAACCCGATGGTACATGGAATAGTTAAGGCACCAGGATCCTGCTTCTTCTGCACAAGTGACCCCATAGAAATAGCACTACAACGTTACAACCTATAATCATCTTCAAAACCGATGGCCCTCTTCTTGGTTACCAAATCTTTCATGAATTTTGTGTACCCAGTTAATTTTTCCAAAGCTTCTTTCAACGATACATTGATGGAAAGTTGTTTCAACATAGTGATAAACCTGCGTTACTCTCCTTCCTCATTCTTCTTTACCAACCTCTATGGGAATGGAGGTGGAGGTCTAGGCATGGGACAACTTTTTGGGTTACTTCTGCTTCCTTTTCTGTAGCATTCTTGGACTCTCCAGTAAACATAATCTCATCATCATCTTTCTCAACCATGATTTCAACCTCAGGTGGCATAGGTGGATCAATGGTCTATTTACCCCCTCGAGTAGTGACTGCCATACAATGCCCATCATTCTTTGGATTTTGGATGGTGTTGCTAGGAAGAGTGCCAAGCTGACGTGGGTTTACTGTAGTAGACAACTGATTCATCTTTAGCTCAAGTTGCTTGATCGACATTACATGGGCATCAATTCATTATGCATCTCCTTCACATTGTCATTAGTCAAATAAAACCTCTTCATCATGTTCTGTATCATATCCTTAATACGTGACATACTACCCTCAGCTTCCCTATTACCAGATTCCCGATTTGTAGGTGGAAGATAAGGGCCAACCCTACCTATTTCGTTGCCATAGTTGTTCTGATTATAGTTCCCATCCCGGACATATTGACCATCCCGATTGTAGTTACCATAGTTCCGACCTTGGTTTCCTTGCCCTTGGCGCCAATAATCCGAGTTGGAACCTTGGGCGTTCGATAGGAAACCCCATGTCTTATCATTTACCAAGTACACATCCTCTTCATAGTAGCATTCCCCAACCAATGGTGGTGTATTCCTAGTCAAATAATTCATAACATTTACCTTTTCGGCACCTTCGCTCACGTGCTTCAACACCAACCCCAATTCGGTCCTCATCTAAGCCATCTTCTCACAAATATCATCTGCAGGTTGACTAAGTGCAGATTGAACTGCAAAAGTGCTTCTCCCAGTTTTTGACTTTCTAGTGTTCCAAGCTTTGTTGTTTCGGGAGATTTTCTCCAATTTCTCAGTGAACTGCTCAAAAGTGCACTCACCGTATGAACCCCCAACGATAGTATCAAGTATAACCTTACTATTGTCATCCTGACCTCTGTAGAAGTATTCTTTCAACGACTCATCATTAATGTGGTGATTCAGAACACTTCTTATGAATGCAGTAAACCTATCCCATGAACTACTCACAGACTCTCTAGGTAGTGCCATGAAGTTGTTGAGTTCGTCTTCGTGGTTTAGCTTCTTTGACAATGGAAAGTACTTGGCCATGAACACCTTGTGCAATATATCCCATGTATGAATGAAGTTATATTGGAGCTCAAAAAACTACACCGTAGCATCACCGGGCAAAGATAAAGGGAGGACTCTCAACCCTATGACATCCATGTCCAATTTCGGTCGACCCACACAACTCTTGCAAACACTCCTCAACTTGTCCATGTGTCCATGTGGATCCTCTGATGTCATACCATAAAACAAACCCCTCACTGTAAGCATCTGCATCAGACTGCTAGTCACGAAAAATGTATGCCCCAGAGGTAGAGGAGGTAGAAAAATAGGTCCTTCGGATTCAACGGTATTGAAGTCGACCCTATAATTATCACACAATATTGGTTCAAGTGGATTTTGTACCCTCAATGCATCTCCCAGTAGATTACCACGATGATCCTCAGCGTGCTCAGTAACAACCCCATGAGGCTGCAACTCAACTTCATCACCTAGATTTCCTCTGATTTTATTAACTTGGACCCCTTGATTATTTATCTTTCGCAAAGTTTTGGTCAACTCTGGATCATATGGAGTCCGTGGTTCGCCTCGAATCTGTGTACTTGGTATACACTAGAGTAGGAACCTTATAGAAAAAAAAACAAAAGAAAAAGTAAAATTAGGAAATAATTGACTAAAGTTCA